TATTATTATTATTTCTTAATTTTTATTTTTATTTTATTAAAAATATAGTATTTTTTTCCATGCCCACAGGATCTCCAGTGTACTCAGTGTCCTGGGCACCTGACTCTGACAAAGTTCTCTACACCTCAGGCCAGCAGCTGATTATTAAACCCCTCCAGCCAAATGCTAAAGTTCTGCAGGTACCATTAATAATCTGATTGATTAATAAGATTTATTTACAGAAACAAAGATACAGAAGCCTTTTCTCTTTTCTCTTGTTAACAAGGTGTTGTTGAATTTTAATTTTTTCGGATTAAAAATCGGAATGGATTTTTGGATGAAGGATTTTAATGCAGATGTTTGTGCTTCGATTCTGCCTCGTTCAAGCTTTATTTAATTTATTTTTCTGCTGAATCATAAAATGGTTAAGGTTATAAAAAAACCTCCAAGATCTTCAAGTGCAAGGATTGATGAATATTAAAAATAGAAGCTGTCAGCATTGTTGAATTGATTTTTTTGCCTTTCAGTGGAAAGCCCACGATGGGTTAATTTTGAAAAGTGACTGGAATTCCGTAAATGATCTGATTCTTTCTGCAGGGGAGGATTGTAGGTACAAGGTGAGTTCTGCTTCAGTTTGAACTCCCTGCCCAAAAATTTCTTGAATATCCTGAAATTTTTGAATTTTACCCTGGAAGCCCAAAATGAAATGAGAAATCTTTCAGTTTTCAAAAAAAAAAAATTCTTTATGGATAAATTTATTTATTATACATAAATTTATTTATTTATTTTTTATAAATACACCTCACTCTGTGTAGTAAGATAAAATTACAAATATTTTTTAATACAGCAGGAGGAAAACTGGTAAAATTGGAGTGAAACAAAAAGAAATATGTACAAATATAGAAGTGATTATTTGAATTAATTTAAGCTGCCATATCAAATTAGAGGAGATAAAACTGCTGTTTTCTACTGAGGGAATCCCTCAGTAAATTTTAAAATATATTAATGATACTAATATAAATACAGTCCATTTATATTTTATTAATATAAAATATTAATTTGGATGCAGGAAATGTAATCAGTAATCTGTATCCAAAATACAAAGCACCTTTTGAGAATCTTCCCTTAAATAAAAACTGATTTTTAAATGTGTTCATGGGTTGGTTCTGTCATTTAATTGTGTAATGAATGTGATAGAAAATATACAATTAAAAAAATTTAAATCTCCAATAAATTATTACTTTGATTGACTTCGTGGTATTCTGTTGAATTCCATTTTTAAAAAAATCTCCTTTTTTGGAAATTTCCAGAGGGATCTTTTAGAGACTTGGGGTAATTTACAGGAAATAAAATTCAGGGGTGCAAAATATTTTATCCAGAATATTTTATTCAGAATTATGTGACATTTGCCATGGCAAAAAGCAAGTCCGTTACAATAAATAAACCAATACTAACTAAATTAATTCTTATATTAATGTATATATAGGTATGTATGTGTATATATGTATATATACACACACATATATATATTATTACACTTAATTAACTTGGGCAATTATTTCTCCAATTTCTATGTCATGAGGGAAAATTATAGTTCTGGAATAATGAAAGTATAACAAGTGTATATATAAAATAAAAGTGAGGAATAGTAGAGGTGATTTTCCAGTTACACTTCATCATGAGGGAAAATTGCACTTCTGGAGTAACAAAAAAATAAAAATATATCTATATAAAAAACAAAAATGAGATATATATTAAAATATATATATTATTTATTTATTTATTATAAATTTATATAAAATGCAAGTGATTTTTCAAATAACCCTGAAAACATGAGGGGAAATTCCACTTCCTGCAGTATCAAAAATACCAAAAATATGTCTATATAAACCAAAAATGAACCGTAGAACTGTGATAGAGTGATTTTACAAATTACCCTAAACCATGAGGGGAAATTACACTTCTGCAGTATCAAAAATACCAAAAATATATACATATAAACCAAAAATGAGCTATAATATAGTGATTTTTCAAATCACACTGAAAACATGAGGGGAAGTTATATTTCTACAGTATCAAAAATACAAAAAAATATATACATATAAACCAAAAATGAGCTATAATATAGTGATTTTTCAAATCACACTGAAAACCTGAGGGGAAATTACACTTACACAGTATCAAAAATACAAAAAAAATATATATACAAATCAAAAATGAACTGTAATATAGTGATTTTTCAAATCCCACTAAATCATGAGGGGAAATTATTCTTCAGACTAACAAAAATTCCCCCAGAGCGTGGTGCCAGGGGTGGAAATTTGAATTTTCTGCAGGTTTGGGACAGTTTTGGCCGTGCCCTGTACAATTCCCAGCCCCACGAGTATCCCATCACTTCCATTGCCTGGGCTCTGGATGGAGAATTCTTTGCTGTGGGATCTTTCAACACTTTACGTCTCTGTGATAAAACTGGGGTGAGTAAAACTCTGCACATTTATTTTATAGAGATTATTTTTTAAAATATCAAATATAATAAATAAATGTTTAAATATTTTCATTTTTTTTCCTATTTTATTTTTATTTTTTTATATTTAAAAATATTTTCCCGAGTAAAACTCTGCAAATTTATTTTTATATATATGAAAAAAATTTATTAAATATAATAAAAATAGAAAATTCCAGAGTAAAACTCCAAATGTATTGATAATAAAGCAAATATTCCTTAGGACATCAGTATACAGGTGGGTGTTTTATTAGCAAAAACTGCTTGTGATTGCCAGCACCTTTTGCTGACCAGAATATTTTATTTTTAATAATATTTTGCCATTTGGGACATGAAATTCTTTACCTGTAAACCACAGAGTTCACAAGCATCTCTGGTGATCATAACTAATCATAAATTGCTATTTTTAACCATAAAAAGGAGTGTATCACAATAACCTGATAGAAAAGCAAATGGAAGAACCATTTATTATTATATTATATTTCTATATTCTATTATAACCACTTTTATTATTTACTTTTTTTGCCCCCTTGAAGGTTTACTCCTTATTTTTATAGGGTTTTTTGCAACTTGATCTCCATTTAAATTAATTTGAAATGTATTTAATGCACTTTCACCTCTGCTCCTTGAGAGCACAGATTGTCCTCATTGTCTCTGTGGTTCTGCACATTTTTGCTCAGATTTTTTTGCAGCAAAATTTGATTATTTGGGATTTTTATTGTCCTGGTTTCCTGTTGTGTTTATTGTTCTTTTTTGGGGAAAAATTGCTGTGGTGTTTTGGGTGTGTTCAGTCAGTCATGGTTCACCTCAGCATGAATTTGGAGTGTGTATTTCAAATATTTTATATTCATGAAGAGGAACCTTTAAAGATTATTTGAGAAACTATAAGGTTATAATAATAATAATTTATAAGGTTATAATAAGGTTATAAAAGGTATAAAGTTAAAATTAAAGATTTATTTGAGAAGAGGCATAAGGATAAACTCTGAATTTTCCTGTTTCACCTTCTGTAGTGATTCTGATTTCACTGATTTTCATTGACAGTATATAACTAGAATTTAATCATAAATTTGTAAGTAAAATTTAATTACCATTATCTTGAAGGAAAAGTACTCACATACAGATTTCTTTTGCAAAGTGTCGGTTTGCTGATTTAAAAGGGATTTTTTTTGATATCTATAGACCTCTAATTTAATTTACTGTTAAGTCTGCCTCAGACCTCCTGCAAGATAAAAAGCAATGTTTTAATGTTTTAATCAGCATTTAACACTGAGCAGGTCATTGGGAATTTTAATGCAGACTGGATTATTTCTTGTAGAAAATGAAAAGATTATTTTACTTGAGTTTATTAAGAGGATGATGATGATGATGAAGATTATTTTTCTTGAGTTTATTAAGAGGATGATGATTATTATGATTTTTTTATTTCTTTCTTATTATTATTATTTTATACTTGAATTTATTATTTACTAAGAGTTTATTACTCAATTCTTAAATAAAAATGAACAGTAGCTACTGGCAGCTGCTTTGTGTGTTGAGCAGGTTTTATTCTCTTCAAATGGAGGATTTTAAATCTAAATAATGTCCCTGAATGTAAATATTGCCTGATGGAACTGAGCTGCCCTGGCAAATTGCTCCCCAGGGAGCCATCAGGACAATAAATATTTATCATTAACTCCCCTCCAGCATATATGTTCATTTTGGGGCATCATTCCATGAAATTCCTGCACTCGATCCTCTTTTTTCTCATTTTTTCCTCCCTCCCTGGGATGTTCAAGCAGCCTCCTGGTAAAGACCAAACGTACAAACTTAATGTTAACATTTTAAATTGTTAAATTCAAATTTAAACTTTAATTGTTAAATCGATTTCTTCGATTAAAAATCATGAAAAGAAATGAGGTATTTATATATAAAATATAAAAAATATATAAAAATAAGAAATATATAAAATATATATAAAATAAATTATTACAACTGTCCTACATGCAAGTTGTGTTCCCAGAGCCTTGGGAGTGTTGAAGGATCACTGATAAAAAATATTAAAAATTAAACACTGGTCAAATGAATAATTTTAATTAGTAAATAGGGGCATCCAGTAAATAATGCTGAATTTAATTATGTATCTTCTCTTAATGACTTGCTTACCCTGGATGGGATTGATCAGTTTAATTTAAAGTTTTTGTTTATTTTCCAAATTGTTAGTGCTCTTCTTGTCGAACATTTATTTTCTGCTGATGTTTATCTATAAATCGATGTTTATTTGACTGTTAAATCCTGCCCTTTGTTTTGCTCCCGTCTTCAACACTCTGCTGAGAAAATTCTGTGTAATAAAAGCAATTATTTCCATTCATCCATCAATTTTAAAATAATTTTGTACACTCTTCAAACTTTTCCTTGTATTACAGAGTGATTTTTGGCCATGTTACTACACTGGCAGTTTGCATATTTGGCTGATCCTCTTCTATTTTTCTCTTCTATCAAATTTTTCTAGACATTCTATTAAAAATATGGAATATTGCCTGATATCTTTGGAAAATAGAGGAAAACATCCTGCAAACTTTACTGCATTGTGCAATCAGAAAAGGGAAATTCAAGTTCCGGCTTTTATAGATTTCTTTAATAAATTAAAACATTTAGAAGTCCTGGCTTTGTTCTTGAGAGAATTCAGTGAAAAATTAATTATGACACAGGAAAAGTAGAAGGCAAAAATTGCATTTATGTTGGACCAGCATTCATCCCTGGAGTCATAGTCAGACCTTTCCTAAAACAAACAAAAAAATTCCATGTATTTAGGAATTCCACAGCAACTATTCCAGTTTTTAAATTGTTTCTATGAAAAATGAAGAGCTAAAATGATTTTTGTGATAACATTTTATGGCCGTGATAA